TAGTTCGAGTTATGCATTTTTTATGCGGAAATGTTTCGAGTAATAATCGCAGGTTCTTTCGCCTAGTAGTAGTCTTCTTCAATTTATTATTAAATCACAGACAGAACTTAAAAAAAATTACAAAAAATTAATAATGCACCAATTATGCGAATAATATGCGACGTATACGTCGTAATTTTGCATCGACTCAACTACTTTACATCGACTATTTTCTTATAGGCGAATAATATGCGACGCATGTACGTCGCAATTTTACATGGACTCAACTACTTTACATCGACAGAAGTAGTTTACAAGTAACCTTACAACGTCACACAAATTATTGACTAATTTTTTATAGGAGAATAATATGCGACGCATGTACGTCGTAAAATTACATGGACTCAACTACTTTACATCGACTAAAATAGTTTACAAGCAAACTTACAACGGCACACAAATTACTAGATAGAGGAGGCTACATAACAACTTGAAAGATCAGAACTAATTGGATGATTGTGCAGAAGTTGGAGGAACATGGGGGGCTAAACAAGTTGGTCCGCGAGTTGAACGTATTCGCCATCCCATGTTTGACGTTCGGTAAACATTTGAAAGTCTCAATCTAGTATACCCCAGAAGAACAAGCACCTTTGTCTTTGAAGGGGTGCTCCCTTTCGCCGTCGTAGGTGACTCAATCTAGTAAACGCCGGGAGACTAAGCAATTCGCCGGAGATTCCACGCCTTCCCAAACACATGGTCACCTACAACTTTTTCAGCCTCCAATTTTTTTAGCTTCCAATGTGAGACGACCATGTGGCTGGGAAGACGTGGGATTTCCAGGGAGAGTGCTTGGACTTCCGAGGTATACTAGATTGAGGAGGCTACGACGGTCAAAGGGAGCGTGCCCTCAAATATAACAGGAGGATCAGGACCCATTTCTCAATTCCTCAACCTTCGATTTTTCTCAACATGTCCGTACAATGAAGAGACTTCATTGACCGTCATGTTGAGGAAAGCGAGAGTTGAAGAATGTTGAGAAAATGGTCCTGATCCTAATTCAATTGTCTCATCTCATCTACCTTTTATAGAAGACTCAAGAAGATATCTATACTCCTTGATAGGCGCGATGTTATTAATTTGCCGAAGACTGAGGAGACGTTTCTGAGCGACTCTTCAAATTTGCAGAACTGCGAACAAAATGCGATGAATCGCATTTCATTCGCATAACTTTCTGACAATAAATGATTTCGCATATCTGGTTAATCAAGAAGATATCTATCCTTCTTGATACGCGCGGCGTTATTAATTTGCCAAAGACTTGAGGGAACGTTTCAGAGCTACTCTTCAAATTCGCAGCACTGCGAACAAAATGCGATAAATCGCATTTCATTCGCATAACGTATTGACAATAAATGATTTCGCATATCTATTTAAAGAAGATATACTCAAGAAGATTTCTATCCTCCTTGATATGCGCGTCGTTATTATGTGCGCCGAAGACTGAGGGGGCGTTTCAGAGAAGAGAAGACTCTTCAAATTCGCAGAACTGCGAACAAAATGCGATGAATCGCACTTCATTCGCATAACGTATTGACAATCAATTGCATTTGATTTCGCATATCTGGTTAAAAAAACATACGTAAAATATAATTAATTGTTTTTAATGCGCCGAAGACTAAGGGGACGTCGTTTCGGAGAAGAGGCGACCTTTTCCGTAAAACAACTGCCATTTTGCGAGACGAAAAGACGCAACCTACCAACCTTTATTTCGCAGCACGACGAACAATGTGCGATAAATCGCATATCTTTCGCATACCTGAAATTAAGGAGGGAAAAAATCCCGCCCAATGAATTACTAGTGCAGTGAAATGAAATTAAGTTGCAAGTGAAATAAAAGTGACAATAGAACGTTCAAGCTCAATCTAAGATAAAATGTTTATTAGATAAAATGTTGATTAGGAGTTAAGGTATATAGATAAATATGGTGTAATGTGAAATTGATTGACAATAGAAGAAAGCCACTTATTAAAAAAATATAACAATGTTCAAGCTCAATCTTAGATAAAATGTTGACTAGGAGTTAAGGTATATAGATAAATATGGTTTAATGTGAAATTGATTGACAATAGAAGAAAACCACTTATCAAAAAATATAATAATGTTCAAGCTCAATCTTTGATAAAATATGGATTATGAGTTAAGGTATGTAGATATATATTGTTTAATGTGATTATGTTTGAAAGTGACAATAGAAGAAAACCACTTATTAAAAAATATAATAATGTTCAAGCCCAATCTTAGATAAAATGTGGATTATGAGTTAAGGTATGTAGATAAATATTGTTTAATGTGATTATGTTTGAAAGTGACAATAGAAGAAAACCACTTATTAAAAAAATAATAATGTTCAAGCTCAATCTTGGATAAAATTTTGATTATGAGTTAAGGTATGTAGATAAATATTGTTTGATGTGATTATGTTTGAAAGTGACAATAGAAGAAAACCACTTATTAAAAAATATAATAATGTTCAAGCTCAATCTTAGATAAAATGTGGATTATGAGTTATGGTATGTAGATAAATATTGTTTAATGTGATTATGTTTCAAAGTGACAATAGAAGAAAACAACTTATTAAAAAATATAATAATATTCAAGCTCAATCTTAGATAAAATGTTGATTATGAGTTAAGGTATGGAGATATATATTGTTTAATGTGATTATGTTTGAAAGTGACAATAGAAGAAAACCACTTATTAAAAAATATAATAATGTTCAAGCTCAATCTTAGATAAAATGTTGATTATCAGTTAAGTTTGTGGATAAATATTGTTAATGTGATTATGTTTGAAAGTGACTATAGAAGAAAACCACTTATTAAAAAATATTATAATGTTCAAGCTCAATCTTAGAAAAAATGTTGATTAGGAGTTGAGGTATATAGATAAATATGGTTTAATGTGAAATTAATTGACAATAGAAGAAAACCACTTACTAAAAAATATAATGATGTTCAAGCTCAATCTTAGATAAAATATGGATTATGAGTTAAGGTATGTAGATAAATATTGTTTAATGTGATTATGTTTGAAAGTGACAATAGAAGAAAACACTTATTAAAAAATATAATAATGTTCAAGCTCAATCTTAGATAAAATGTTGATTATGAGTTAAGGTATGTAGATAAATATTATTTAATGTGATTATGTTTGAAAGTGACAATAAAAGAAAACTACTTATTAAAAAATATAATAATTTCAAGCTCAATCTTAGATAAAATGTTGATTAGGAGTTAAGGTGTGTAGATAAATATTGTTTAATGTGATTATGTTTGAAAGTGACAATAGAAGAAAACCACTTATGAAAATATATAATAATGTTCAAGATCAATATTAGATAAAATGTGGATTATGAGTTAAGGTATGTAGATAAATATTGTTTAATGTGATTATATTTGAAAGTGACAATAGAAGAAAACCACTTATTAAAAAATATAATAATGTTCAAGCTCAATCTTAGATAAAATATTGATTATGAGTTAATGTATGTGGATAAATATTGTTTAATGTGATTATGTTTGAAAGTGACAATAGAAGAAAACCACTTATTAAAAAATATAATAATGTTCAAGCTCAATCTTAGATAAAATATTGATTATGAGTTAAGGTTTGTAGATAAATATTGATTAATATAATTATGTTTGAAAGTGACTGTAACGCCCCACTTTTATTTAACAAAAATTCATGGCTTTCAAGAAAAATCAATTTAATTTTTCAAACACATTTCAGACATTTGAGGCGTTACTCATTTATTTCCAAAACATTATCTCATATATCAAAATACTTAGTCATAGCAATGAAATCAAAACATATTCTAACACCTTATCAAAGGTTTCATCCCAAGTCATAACTACCCAAATCGGGTTTCCAAAATTTTCAAAATAAAGACATCATGGTGTCAACGGGGCATCTCCCCAAACAATGTTTCAAACATAAATATCCAAGGTTCATAAATAAACTCAAATAGCGGAAGCAATACAATCAATGGTCTAGTCATCTAGACCGACCACCACTCGTCTCGCCTCGCCGCCCGCAACCTGCTTAACCTGCATCCGTGAAGAGCAGGTGGGGATGAGCACAATATGAACCCGTGGTGCTTTCCACTATGCACATAAATAACATTCAATAAAATAGGTATGGTCGCAGCATGTATACGAATCAATCAACTATCCCATCTCCTATCCAAAGTCATAAATAGCCTCATGTGCACACCTATATCAATAGACTACTGCTGATACACGTATCGAATGCCTTCTCTTAGGCCTTACAACAATGCCCAAACTGTAGGAGTATCCCCCGAAGGCCCGGCTCCACCATTGGACTTACAACGGGGTTCATAGCGTCGACCGAGCTCCGCCCTGGTCTCATCCGCTGACCGAGCTCCGCCCTGGTCTCATACCGCCGACCAAGCACAACCCTGGTCTTACTAGCGTAAAAAGGAGATTACCCCAACGGGGTCCGTTCTATAACTACGGGGATAACCGTTCGACGGTCGGTAGCTCACATCGAAGGCTACATGGTTCACATGCATACATTGATCACACCATCCAACAATATAAATCATTTACGGCATAGTAATTTTATATATAAATACACCTGGTTACCGAAGTGGAGAAATTCACACACAAAGAAAACACGTAGGTCGAGGGCTCGACTCCTCTAACACCTACATTTAAGCGAGATAATTTATCAATAATCTATCTCACTTCTCAAATTTAATATAAAACCCATACTTAATAAAAATTAAGACTTAAAGGTTTTAATCGGATTTTTCGTGGACTTGGAACTCTCTCATTTTTGAAGAATAGGACTCAAAAAATTAAATCAAAGTCTCAGAATTTAAATTATTTTTTTCAATTATTTTCTCATTTGAAATAATTTTTAGAAATAAGTTCGGGTTGAAAAATAGGTTTCCAAGACACAAAACGGGTCAAAACGAAGTCAAATTGGGCCACTACACACTAATTGCCGCGGATTTGGGCTTGAGGTGCACGGTCATTGGGCCCAAATGGGGCTGGCCCAACACCCATAAGGGCTGAAGGCACT